CGTGGGGGGGGGGGGGGGGCTTCTGCGTGCCGACATGAAAATGGCGTGGAGAATGCAACTCTCAGCAAACAATGCGCATGGTGGTCACACTGATATCTTTCTCACGGTCTGCTCACACCGTTCCGGCTGAGTTGCGTCTCATTCTCTCACGGTGCGGTGCATGTGACAGCCTGCAGGACGCCCACTGATTTCATGGACGCTCGGTATAAGTCTTTTTTTATTATTATGTTAAGGGGAACGCGGTAGCGTAGTTGGTAGAGCCACTGTGCCACAAGCCGGAATGTCATGGGTTCGACTCCCGATGAGGTCATTGGATTTTTCAGTTGACCTAATCCTTCCAGCCGCACTATGGCCCTGGGGTCGACTCAGCCTCTAACAGAAATTGGTACCATGAATCTTCCTGGGGGTACAGGGCGGCCAGCGCGTAAGGCTTGACAACCTCACCGCCATCTGGGGGCCGATTGTCTAGAAAATGTAGAATCCTCGATGTCTTGCAATCCTATTACCCTTCACGGCCTGTTACAGGGGTACCGTTACCCTTATTATTCTTAGTGGGGTGAGGCTGAGTCCACTTGGTACTGCGGCCACTTCTGGCCTATTGTACCAGCCCCAGATGATAGGTGAGGGTGACTGTGGAGCAGTTGGTGGGATGAAGATTGGCAGGGGAAACCAAAGTACTCGGAGAAAACCTGCCACAGCGCCACTTTGTCCACCACAAATCCCACGACCTCACCCGGGCTCGAACTCGGACCGCCGCGGTGGGAAGCCAGCGACTAACCGCCTGAGCTATGGCGCGACCTTCGTTAGAAGTTAAAAGAGGCCCAAGGTACCTCGTCAGTAACGCACGAAGCACATGAAATTTTCCATCATGTAATCTTCCACAAATTAAAGGCTCAACCCACCAATTTCTTTGCCCTCCTCGTCACTTACATACAAATACGGATAAACGTACTTAATCTACGAAATTCATCTCTACCTGCTTGGAGTGTGTTTACAGTCGTGACATGAAATGAAGCGCGTATGGGCGTGGAAAAATCGTCTCTGTGGCCACCAGCGTCACCTCGCCTCCTGCCCATCGTTTTCACTTCTGCGCACTGATGATAAATTAACGCCCATCATGAAAGGCAATGCATACCAGAGCGCCTTTCTAAATGCGTACAGACAGATATGAAAATCTCGAGATTAAGCCCTGCCGGTGTGAAGACCGTCCAGATATTTCGGTGCAAGTCAGTCTAGCGCTGTTTGTATCTGAGAGCTTCCTTCGAATCATTAAGCACTACGCCATGAAGGCATATTGGGGAGTGGATGTATACATCCGGGATAGCGCAGCCGGTATAGCGACTGCCTACGGGCTGGACGACTGAGGGGTCGGAGTTCGAGTCCTGGTGGGGTCAAGAATTTTCTCTTCTCCACGTCGTCCAGACCGGCTCTGGGGCCCCATCTAGCTTCCAATCCAATGGGTACCAGGGGAAATTTCCCGGGGAGTAAAGCGGCAGGAGCGTGAAGCTGACCACTCACATCAAACTAGTGCCGAGGTCAAGAAAGTGTGTATATATATATGTATATATATATATATATATATATATCCACGGGGTTTGGATTGGTAATTGGATTTATTGAACATTTATAACACATAACTATAAGTAACTATAACACCGTCGCCAATTTACATGCTTTACAATTAACTACAGCTCACACTACGTCTTTTCAATATGCCTTCACTAGTCGTCACCCGGCAATGGCTCCAACAATGCAGATTACTCAGCTTCTGTGTTCTACGGTTCCTGTCATCGCTGGCTGGCGACTCCTTCACAGCTCAGAGTTACTTTACGTATGGCGGCTTACCACAAATCATTTCGTCTTGGCGCCAAGTCATTTGAGAATGGCTTATACCGTTATCGCGTCACAACACTTTGAAATAAGTATGCTTAGTTGTGCTGCTGAAGACTGTTTGTTCTGCATAGTAGAGACAGATAAGATACCAGCGATCCTGATAACGCAAATGTGTAGCTCGCTTCCAAGTGACGATCTGCATGTGACCGAGCACAAGATTTTTATACAGCCGGTAGAAAATGTATACGAATCCTGAGAAGCTAGGTCATTCCACAGAATCTCTTGCTCCGCTTGTGAAAACGTCACGCCGGTTTCTACACAAAACAGGTTTAGGCTTTACAAATATTCTGTTATGTGCTCGTAAATCATGGGGAGCCTACACTGTAGGGCAGGCGAACATTCAACATCAACTGCAGATATTACTGGAATCTGTAGATGTTTGTGGCGAGGTGGTGGGGCCAAACCAGGTACCTGCCCCACCCCCTTTTTCTGAAGGTTTAGGGAAAAAGAAATCAACATTACCACCAAAACTGAAAGTGTTTTTTTGAAGTCTTTTCATCATCATCATCAGTAATCTGTCAGACGACAGGTCCACAGTCTCTTCCAAAACAATTCCTCCACTTAATGCGATCTAGAGCTTTCTTCTTCAAATGACAATATCCTCTTCTGTCCCTCTGTCCCCAAGGTCATCCAGCATCTTCTTACATCTTCTTCCTCGTCTTCTGGTCACTTCTATCCGCCCCTCTATCTTTCCTTCAATAACTTCTTTTAGAAGGCAGTTACTGCGTAAGATATGACCAATCCAATTAGCCTTCCGTTTTCTTATTTCGTGTAGGATATTCCTCTGCTCACTGACTCTAATTAACACTTCTTCATTTCTCACATAATCGGTCCAACTGATCTTCTCCATCCTTCTCCAACACCACATTTCAAAACTTTCCAGATGTTTCTGATCTACTGCCCTAAGTGTCCATGTTTCAGCCCCATACAGAGCTATGCTCCAAATGTAGCATTTCACTAGTTTCTTCCTCAAATTTAAGTCCAATTTGCTGGTAAAAAGATTCTTCTTCTTGCTAAATGCAGCTTTTGCCATGGCAATCCTGGATTTAATTTCACTAGTACACCTTCCATCATCTGTTA